GTAAAATACAATAGTTTGTGTTTTCAGTTTGTTTTGGAATCGATGATACAGCACCAATACCAATGGAATGGTACCTACTGGTGTCTGACTGCCCAGACTGACCACGCCATCGAACTAAATGTAAAGCCCTGCCCTTCCACATACCCATCTGCGTGCCTGATGGTCCCTCGTCGATTAGTCCTGACTGTTGATGGAACTCTGCTCCACCATGCTCCGGCAATGATGGGTAATCTGACTTGGGATTCTGAATGGCACAACGGAAGTAAGTACCTAGAGGAGAATCGAGGAGTTGGTGGCTAAGGCTCAACGACCCATTGGGATCAGCCGTCTGAGGTACTCACAGATAGGGGAAACCGTGGATCAAGCCAAAACCAAATATTCCAAGGCTCTCAGCCAGGCAGTAGAAGTCAAGACAATGATTATGGGTATCGCCTTCACTGGCGATGGATTACCATGGGGACAGGTGTAGGTAATATTCTGTCGAGTCATGTGGGCAGTGTCTATTCTGACCTTTCTATTGGTATTGGTGCTGCATCGGCGATTCCAAAACAAACTGAAAACACTAAAACTATTGTATTTAACCTGACGGGTTAGTGAACCCTGAGGATAAGAGGAGGGACTGCACGGTAAAAATTTCTGAGGCAGGCTATGATATTCTGTTAGAATAGGGGTTCTTAAATTTGGAGTCTGGGACTGGCACACAAACACAGTACATGATGGTTACCCTCCGTCCCCATTCCCACCAGTCTAGCCCATCAAAAAAAGGCCATTGTACAGCTAAGGACCCATGATGGGAGGCAGGACATAATACGAAACATTCAATGGTGCTAGGAGCAAATGTACCATTGTCAAGTACTCCTAATGTCTCTGCTTTATTCCCCAGAGACACCTTCTTGAAGCTGACAGACATATCCCCACTAAACACATAAATGATAATTGATGGCTGTTTTGTTTAAATACTTGTTTTACTAGATATAAGATATCATTTGAGCAATTATATTGAGCACTATGTAACTTTATATTATTGCTTTTATTTTGCCTCATGATTAGCATCTATCCAGGGGGTTCAGGATCATCCCCTCCCCCTTCCATCACTTTAATCTGCCCACTGAGAATCTTGAAGCTGACTGACATATTCCCACTTAACACTTAAATGATAATTGATGGCTGCTTTGTTTAAATACTTGTTTTACTAGATATAAGGTATTATGTGAGCTATGGGTGGAAACACTATAACTTTATATTATTGCTTTTATTTTGCCTCACGATTAGCATCTATATAGCGGGTCTGGGATCTTCCCCTCTTTTCCATTCCTTTGATCTGCCCACTGAGCATCCTATACAATTGGTTGTAACCTATTGTTTGGCAGTGTTCATGGAGCCCTAACGAGCAATGTGACACTTCAACAGCGCTGTGTGTAATAAACTCTCCTGCTTGCTTCACATACAGTGTCCAAATTCTGTTCCTTCACCATACAACACAGAACGCTCCCTGCTCCACCAAGAGCACATACCACTGGAGCAATATCGACATCTACAGCCTTCCTGTGAGACATTCCCCTTTGGGACACCTGCCATGCTGCTACATGGTCTTCAAATCATACCTTCCTAAAGGACTACGCTATTCTTCTACATCTTTCTAATGATGTCTCAGTAGCCGCTGCAGTGCTATCCACTGCCAAAAAACGGAGACTCTGAAGCCTACCATCTTTATCTTACCTGATTACTGCTATGAAGTCACCTACAGTGGAGCGCACATGGGGACATCACTCTAAGGAGAGAGGGAAATTACTCACCTTGTGCAGTAACAACGGTTCTTCAAGATGTGTGTCCCTGTGGGTGCTCCACTTCCCGCCCTCCTCCCCTCTTCTTCGGGGGTTTCTTTTCCTCTTTTTCAGATACTTAGGCTATATGAGGAACTGAAAGGGGTTAGGCCATACGCACGAAGCACAAGGTGCTTGGTGTGCAGTGCAGCCCAACTGGCTACTGCTATGTAACTCCTATTTGTGGCACCAGGGCAACCTGATACCTACAGTGGAGCACCCACAGGGATACACTTCTTGAACCGTCATTACTGCACAAGGTGAGTAACTTCCTTTTATGATGTTTATTTAATATGAAATTAAATACAAGGAAAATTAACATTGCCCTTGGATTACATGTATTATTATCCTAACTTAAGCTAGTAAACACACCAAAATGCTTATTTTCCACAGTTAGCTCAACTTTAAGATGCTAAACAAATCTGAGTCAACCAGAAATAGTCATGCTCACTTTGCAAATATTAATACAATATTTACTGACACTGGAAAGGAGAGTAAAAGGCGTTCACTCAGGCTTATATAGTTTATTTGGGGAATGTTTAGGTCCATGATATACAAATATAAGTGAAACTGAGAGCTGTAAAAATAAGTTTTCGTGGTTTGAAACTTTCACCTTATATATGTCACCAACTCAAATAGTAGAAGCCCCAGAACAAATTTAACACATGGCTTCAGGGTTTGTACACCGATCCAAGTTTGAGAGCTTTCAACTAAGGTTTTATCCTACAAAGCAACTAGCATCATACCTAATACTTGCTGCTACTTACTCATAAGAGCCAGAACTCTACCAGATAGCAAAAATCTGGCCTTAATGCAATACAATTTGCCATGTGTTAATTAGTAACACAGGATTTAAAAAATTCATTGAGATTAGGATCAGAGTTTTAGATATCGGCAACACTCAAAAAAAAAAAGTATGTTAAAAGAATCTTTTTCCTTCTTACCATAAGCCATTAATAAGACCTATGTAAACTTTATTTAAAAGGTAATTATGCACATTTCCTGGCGCAACCCCCCCCCCCCCCCCCCCACCGCAGCCTGCTTCCTCCAGTCTGCTTCCTCCCAGGTCCTTTCCAAGGGAACTTTTATGCTATTAAAAGTCGTTCCTATCCCTTAGCTCCCTAAGATAACATCTACAGAACAAATTTAGCAGGGGCTTCAGCTTACATTGTTCTCAAGGGAACACTCAGTTTCACAGTTACCCTTCTCTTTTATCCAAATCCTTGTCCTTCCATGCATTTCATCTCTCATAATGTCTCTTTACAACATGGTGTTCTTTCCCTTCCCCCCAAAGAAAACCTTACCAAATGTATTGATTCAATCAGAAAACCATCCCCCCTCCCCCCCTTCTGACCCATTTGCAGCCTCTGCACATGACTGTGGCAGTCCTATTTCCTGCAGCCAGGGAGAGAAGCTTTCCAAATTCGGACTCACCAGAGTTTAAAAAAGTATATGGAGAAGATCTTAAAATGACCAGAGAAATGGCTGAAACTTGGGGGTGTTTCCCATTTCCAGTGACAGTGCAGGGAGAAGTTTGATCTTGCTCTTACTGGAGGAGATCCTGAACTGATTCCAAATGGGGTGAAAGTAGGAAAGCATGGAGGAGGGGGAAGAGAGAGGTGCTGTCTTGTTAGAACGGAGCAGGGGGAGGGGTGCAAATTGGAGAGAATAGGAGCAAAGTAGAAGGCAGAAGTAAACAGGCAACTGTGGAAAACTGGATCCCTGCCCAGCCAATTCCCCAACGGGCGGGCTAGGGGAGACTCAGGAAGGGGGAAGGTTGCCGCTCTGTTAGCAATTCATAGTGCAGGGAAGTATTTGGGGGTGAAGCAGAGAAATTGACTAGATCTGGCAGCACCTGTAACTTACCCAGCATTTTCCACATGGCTGGGAGGCAGGCAATGAAGCACCGATCATCCCCTTGGAAGAGGGGGGCCCCCCTTTCCTCTTCACCTGGTAGCTCAAACTCCATCAGGGTGACATGGTCCTCTATGTATTTCCTGCCTCCCTGATTGGAGAATTCACCATCAGCAAGTACAGACCGAGGTGTGGAGTGGGGACAGGACCAGGGTCAAAGCTGAAGCCAGCTCCTCCATTCATAGCAGGCAGCAGCTGCTACTGCTCCTCCTCAGTGAGAGGGCGAGTGCCCCACCCTTGCTTCCCCAGGCGATCAGCTGAGTTCCCTGCCTGTGCAGGGTGCTCTGAACCTCTGAATGGGGTGCGGCCACACATCTTACAGAGAACCTTGATGATCAGGGCTTCACACTTACTTTCCTTGGGCAAGATTGAGGAATGGGACAGTGGCAAAATCAGAAGTAGAACCCATATATCTTGTTGTTCTGATAATTTTGTGAACATGATCTCCAATCAAATGCATCATATGAAATTATTCAGGATGCCTGTCTTCAATTAATATATTTTAAAGGATGTCTATTAACTTTTTATCTAGAAAAATTTGACACTGTTTTCATTTAACAACCCGTGTACAGAATGCCAGTATATATTCTAAAGGACATTTATTCTCTTATAATTGAAGCCTCTTTTCTATTGTTTGTAACCTCTGGAAATTTAAAACTGAAATATTTTACTTTCAGATTATATTTTCCTCCATACCTTGTGTCTCAGCACACCAATTTATTTTATCCTATTTGAGCTAAAAATTAACAACGAATAAGCTTATAGTGTGACTTCTTAAAATTGCTACATTATGTCATTTGAGGTAAAATGCAAAATCAATATTGACTGCAATTACTGAACTAACATAAAGGGTTTTGATATTAGCAGAGGTTTCACAATGGTAAATTTCATACTACCCATTTGACTTTTCTCTAATATGCAGTGTGCATTCATATATATCTCTTCTGCTTTAATTCAGGAGTATGCAGCAACCTAGTTTTCCAAGTATCAGAGGGGGTAGCCGTGTTAGTCTTCCAAGTTTGAGGGGGTAGCCGTGTTAGTCTGATTCTGCATAAACAACGAGAAGTCCTGTGGCACCTTATAGACTAACAGATTTATTGGAGCATAAGCTTTCGTGGGCAAAGACCCCATGCATCGCCAGATGCATGCTATATTCGTCTAGATTTCCAAAATAGAAGGAGGAGAACTGCAAGTTAGCAAACTCGATTGAGAGTTACATTTATTTGAAGGCAATACTGATAATGTTAACATTTTCTTTTGTAGCAGATCGCAAAAGCTTTTGCACAATTCATAGCACAGGATATTTAAAGAGCTGGCCTCCAACAAAAATGGGACTAGATGAAGATAATGAGCCGGATAATGAAGGCTGTAATTTAAGCTGTCTTGTTGCAATTGGACGGTTGCATCCTCATGTAGTTCCTCAACCAGTCAATGGTGAGATCCGGGTTAAACCTACAGAATATGTGTCTCGACATGCAATAGATGGAAAGTTTGTTTTTGTAGATCAGAGGTAAGAATAAGTTTATAATTTTCTTGGTCACCGGAGTAGTTGTATCATGTTGATACTTGTTACATATCCTGATAAACTGTTTGTTCAAGAGAACTACTACTATGAAAATAAAATTGTAAATAATAACTCTGTTGTTGTACTTTATAAATAGTGCTAGTCACAAAATCACTTTCGTGTAAAAATAATTCCATGTAAAAAATGGGTTTACAATATATATTATTTATGCTCTCATACACTACAGACTCATTAGCAAGTCTAATCAAAGCAAAATTATATGTATATTTTAAAAACAAAATCATACAAAGTTTGGCAACTTTGGTTGCCATGAAGATGGAGCAACAAAGTTTCTATTTAATCAGGCTGGAAGAAGCAACCCTCCAATGCAAACATGAGGATAAATTTACTTTTATTTAAAATTAAAGCATTTAAATGTAAATGGAATAACATTTTTCTCAAAGATGAACTCTTTTCTGCAGATGCTTGATGGTAATTTCTATAGGAAATGGTTTAAGGAGATATACTGCAGTAATAATAATTTGTAAGTTAAAGTATATCTTAAAGTTAAGGATGTGATTTTAAGTGTTCAGCTGAATTTGTGCCTTTAGAAGGAATCTCTCATAAATTACTCTGGTGTAGACTTTAAAAGAATAGTAATCTGAAAGTTTCAGAATCTTTTAAACAGAAACTAGCAAATATCACTTAAACTGCTTTGATATCAGTAGTGTGGTTTGTTTTTACTACTTAGGTTTTGATTTCTGTCATTTTCCTGTGTTTAGTTTTTGTTCACATCTTGTTGTCCGAGAGCAGAGTGTGTTCAGAGTGGTGGGGGTGAAGCTGCGATGTCAGCCTCACAAGGCAGGGAGGGAGACTCCTCTCAGTGGGCTAGCAGGCCTGTGGGTTAGTGTCAACATCCACTGCCATTGCTCTGTTTTTCCCTCCCTGCCCAGTGCTGGCTCTATCCCAAAAAATATTCACATGTGCCTTTCCCACACTGAATATCAAATGGGGATGGAGATATTGCTTGTATTGTTGTCTGGGTTGGGGGGAACAACCAAAAATTGTAACTCAAAGTAAGAGAGCCACAGCCTCAAAAGTTTGAAACCTGTTGTCCTTGAGCATGGTTTGTCAATCTAGGAGTCATAGACAGTTTCAGGGAAAGTTGAGATAGATGAAAAGGGGAGAGGGGTGTGGAAATGTTTTTCTTACATGAGGTCATGCTTGGAAAAGATTGAGAATAGCTATCCTGGAGCATGTTTTGCTTTCATCTGCTTATCTTTTGGACTACAACATTGTTTTGGGAGCACTTGTCCTTACAATGAAATACATGTTACGGTATGTAAGTACCATCAGTATTTCTAGTACCAAACAATTTAACTACATTGTGCAAATGTTTAATTTGGTCATTTCTAGTTGCACCATTTTTGTTTCCTCTCCTGATATTATTTTCCTCAGTCCTTGTGTCAATCAGTTCAGAATCTGAGAGAGAGAGAGACCTCTGCATGCCTCATATCTTAGTTTTCTAACCTATTCCTTATTTAATGCACAGTTGTCCCCTGGATTGCAATTTGCTTTTCCAGTATTCACAGATGGAAGAGGATAGAAGAGATTCATTATCATATAGAAACTTGTACAGATCTATTATATCAGTAGTGCACTTTCTGTTCTTTTTCTTGAGATTTTTTTTCTTATAAGTGAATTGCTTTATAATTATGCCTGTAGCTCAACTAAAAATAGTTGGCACAGCTCCTGGTTTTCTAGTTAAGTACAGTACAGCTGCTAAAGCAGATGGCATCAAGTGACCTACCAATGTAAAACTATTTGCGAACAAGTAATTTCCATGCTAATGCAAGGTAGTAGTAATGCAAGGAGTATGTCCCTGGTGTCAAAAGGAGTGTTTATAATGTGGAGTTTCTAAAGCAATACAAAGAAATTTAGAGGACCATCTTGGAAATTGCTGTGCTTTCTTATCCTGAACCAGAAAAGAAGTTAAGCACAAGTTTTATTAGAACAAGAATGCTCAGGACATTTCAAGATTCATTCCTTAGTCTGTAATCTTGTGACATTCAGGAGTCTATTATTCTGCACAGGGAATAGAGCATTTAAAAAAATACTTCCATCCTGCATTAGGGTTTATGTGCATGCATTGAATATAGGCTTACAATATAGAGAGATCCTTGTTATTGGAATATCAAAACCCTAAATCTCTCTCCAAATATTCTAGGATCTTGGTGTGTTAATTCTGAAGTTTTCTGATGAAGTAAAAATTTGTTGTCTTTGAAGAAAAAAATGTGATGAAATGAAAGCCCTATGTAATGTCATACATTTGTGTATGCCTGTCTGATTATAGTGCTAATAAAGATGGTACAGTCTGGTATCTCAGTGCAAAATTCAGTAAAATGTATTTATTCTTACTCCTTTACTTTTTCTGTGTTTTTCATTTCCAGTCATCTTTTGCTCCTCTTTTAGGCCTTTCAACAAAGAATGGGAAACACTCCTACCTAAAATACCATTATTAACAAAAGCAGGCTTTTTGACACAACAGGATGCACGAAGGAAGAAAACAGATTTTAGGACTTTTGAAATTGAATGCTCTTGTTAAAATACTGTTCTTAGTGTTGTAACTGTGTCATTCCCAGTAAATGAGAGGAACCAGGTGGGTGAGTTAATGTCTGGAATTGAACCAATTTCTTTGGTGAAAGAGATAAGTTTCTGAGCCACTTAGCACTGTACTTCAAATCTGTACATGAAGAGGAGTTCTGTGTAGCTTGAAAGCTTGTCTCTCTCTCCTACTGAAGTTGGTCTAATTCAAGATATTACTTCACCCAGCTTGTATCTTTTATTAAAATGTAATTGTATGTTATCGGGCTTCCTCAGTACCTTGTGGGCTGCTACAAGAAAGCTTTAGCCAATTCTAAATATTCCAAATTATAATTTACATCCAAGACTTGGTTCTTGTATCTGTAGATGATACATCAGAACAGACTATTTCAGAGAAATATATTAGTATTGTGGGTGTGTTTGTTTCTGTTGTTTTTAGCCTATTTCCAAATTAAGGTACAAATGATCAGTTTATCCCAAGTTAAAATAATATATTCTACATGATTGTTTGACAACTGAGTAGGGGGGCATGGGTATATTTTAATAATATTGATGTACCATTTTATTTTTAAAATGTTGTTTTATTTTAGGGCAACGGCCATTCTAGCATACTTACCACAGGAACTTCTAGGCACTTCATGTTATGAATATTTTCATCAAGATGATATAGTACATCTTGCAGAATGCCATAGACAAGGTAAAATCATTTATAATTCAGTTTTAAGTATGAGGTTTCAGTTTCAGCAAGTCAAAACAGTCAAAATAGATATTAGTCTTCCTGATATTTCACACACAAATTACAAGTTAAAGAAATAAGGTTTTTTCAGCTTGGCAAACATTAAGATTTTTCTTGCATGAAAAGGATTTTGTTTGATATGCATTGAACAGTGTAAATATCCTAGTAAGTTAAATTAGTATGAAGTCTTCTAATTGGCACCATCAGGTGCAAAGATTTAAAGAAGTGTTAGAAATAGTGCTGTTCGAAGGAAGGAAACTGGGAGAATCTGCATCAACTTACTACACTTCATATATAGAGTGCAGGTCTGGAAAAAAGGGTTGGTCCTTATGTGTCTCTCTTCTTAGTTTTACAGACAAGAGAAAAAATTACAACTAATTGTTACAAATTTAAAATAAAAGATGGCTCCTTTATTATCTTGAGGAGTCGTTGGTTCAGTTTCATGAACCCTTGGACCAAAGAAGTTGAATACATCGTCTCAACAAATACAGTTGTTTCGTAAGTATTTTCTTCTAGCAAGTGCACTTGAACATCAGGAATTGTAACCCTTCTTCAAGTGTAAGAGCATGGGAATTGCTCTAAAAATGTGTACAAATATATGACATTAAGCATATGAGCTTAATAGTGGCTGCTCTTACAACAAAAGGAATGAAATCTAGAAATTAGCTGATCTTTTGCTAAAGTTTCTATAAGTATAAATAAATAAACGTATAGAGTAAGACACTGATCTTTTAATTGATTGTACCACACGTGCATTGTTTTACCCATGTGAAGCCTCCAGTTTCTCCACTGGGGTTCTGTGAAGATGCAGCAGTTGCTCCTGTACAATGACTTGTCTGATCAGCTCCTGGATCAGCTGCTCCCTCCTGTTAGGAGAAGAGCAGCGTGGTCTCAATAATGCATGCTTGATGGGTCGTAAGAGTTTTGTTTTTGTTTTAGAATTGTTTTTAATACGTTGGGCAGCTGTTTCTATGTACTGTGTCCAAGTGATGATTAAATTTGTCTTATAAATCACAAACACTGAAACTGCCCCCCTTCTAACATACTATTTGATCACTATTTCTTCCTGTTGGTTTTAAACCCTCAGCACCAGTGTACTTGATGGTGGCGATGCAGCCTTCCCACAGCTTGCAGCGTCTCCGCACAGCATGGACAGTGTACTTCAGGCTGGAGAAGGTAACTACACTATAGTGAGAAACTTGTGTTGGTTAGACCATGCTCATTAGTAGACTTTCCTTGGTTATGAATTAACCCTGTGTGCTCCAGTTGCTTTCTGTCATTCATCGGAGATTAATTGCTCGGCAGATGATAGGTGCACGCAGTACGTGACATACATACATTCCAACAAGGTCTCTGCCCCAATGAGGGCAAATCTAATTTAGGTAGAAATAATACAAATGATGGTTGAGGGCTGAGGTGCCGGAGTAAAAACACGCACTCATAAGGATCCGTGATGGAAGGCTGTAAAGAGGGATTTAGGGTTGAGGAAAAGTGTTTTCTGTATGAGGAGAGCTCCAGGTGTAGAGTGTTATTTTTTGTAAAAGACACCTGTTCTGATAGTGAGCTGGGAGTGTGCCCAAGGAGCACGTAGTACAACTCCGCTTAATCCTTAGCATCCCCAATCCTATCTTTAAGACCCCCCCCCAACGCCCAGTTCTGCCACTTCTCCAATGGCAGACACGAAAGTTGGTCTAATAGATGTTTGTTGCCTGCCAACAGCCCAACGGGCTGTTCGGGCAGCTAATGATCAGCCATATATAGGAGACACTCTGGTCATTTAATTGGCCACTCCCACACTGGCAGTGGGAATGGGAGGCTTGATGACGTAAGAGCAGTTATTGTGACTGTAGGCATCACAAGGATCCCCTGTCCTGGGGAAGCCCTGTAGTAGCTATTTTAGCACAGTTTTGTACTAAATAGAGCTGCAGAAATCTGCCCCAAATGACTGAAAAATGAATTGAGAATGAGAGGACTGACCATGAATGTATTGGCCAAGGAGGTGGTGGGAAAAGGAACAGGAGTGAGATGAAGGCAAGGATGGCTGCATTGCAGTAGTTCTGTCTGAATTTAATGTGTAGTGTTTGGATCTTTGAAATGAAAGATGGGATATAAAAGGATATATTATTTAAAAATCTGTAATAAAATGTGTGTTTCTTCTTAGATTAGAAAAAAAATCATATTACATTATAGAATCCTAGGGCTGGAAGAGACCTCCAGATGTCCTCGAGTCTAACCCCTGCCCAAAGCAGGACCAATCCCAACTAAATCATACCAGCCAGGGCTTTGCCACGCCAGGACATAAAAACCTCTAGGCTACGTCTACATTGGCCCCTATTCCGTAATAGGGATGCAAATGTAGCACTTTGGAATAGGCAAATCCGCGGGGGATTTTAATATCCCCAAGTGCTACATTAGCATCCCTATTACGGAATAGGGGCCAATGTAGACGTAGCCTAGAGGTTTTTCAGGGGAGAAAAAGGCACACCTGTCTGGCAAAGCTAATGCCTAGTGAATTTGTTTTTCCTAATATCCAATCTAGACCTCTTCCAGTGTAGTTGGAGACCATTGCTCCTTCTTCTGCCATCTGTCACCACTGAAAACAGCTTCTCTCCATTCTCCTTGGAACCCCCCTTCAGGTATTTAAAGGCTGCAGTCAAATCCTCACTCACTCTTCTCTTGTAGACTGAACAAGTCCAGATCCCTCAGCCTCTCCTCATAAGTCAATGCTTCTGGTGAATCTGAGGGAGTTTGCTGATCTGATTGCAGAGCCATTGGCCAATATTTTTTTAAACTTGTGGTGATTGGGGGAGGTCCTGGATGACTGAAAAAATAAAATCTGGTGCCCATCTTTAAAAAAGGAAAGAAGGAAAATCCAGGGAACTACAGATCAGTCAACCTCACCTCAGTTCCTGGGAAAATCATGGAGGGGATCCTCAAGAAATCCATTTTGAAGCTCTTGGAGAGGGGAAGGTGACCAGGAACAGTTAACATGGATGGCAAGTCATCTTTGACCAATGTGATTAGCTTCTGTGATGAGGTAACTGGCTCTGTGGACATGGGAAAGGCAGTGGATGTGTTATGCCTTGACTTTAGCAAAGCTTTTGATATGGTCTCCCACAGTATTCTTGCCAGTATATTAAAGAAGTGAGGATTGGATAAATGGACTATGTGGTGGATAGAAAACTGGCTAAATCATCGGGTTCAGTGTGTAGTGAGCAATGGCTTGATGTCTGGTTGGTGATTGATACCAAATGGAGTGCCCCCAAGGGTCGGTTCTGGGACCGATTTTGTTCAACATATTTATTAATGACCTGGATTAGGCGATGGATTGCACCTCAACAAGTTTGCGGATGACGCTAATCTATGGGGACAGGTAGATACGTTGGAGGGTAGGGTTAGGGTCCAGAGTAACCTAGACAAATTGGAAGATTGGGCCAAAAGAATTCTGATTAGGTTCAACAAGGACAAGGGCAGAATCCTGCACTTGGGACGGAAGAATCCCAAGCACTGTCCCCAGCGTGTAGCAGACTGGTTAAGCAGCAATCCAACAGATAAGAACCTGGGCATTATAGTGAATGAGAAGCTGGATATGAGTCAACAGTGTGCCTTTGTAGCAAAGAAGTCTAACAGCATATTAGGGTGCATTAGAGGAGCATTGGCAGCAGATCTAGGGAAGTGATTATTCCCCTTTATTCGGTACTGGTGAGGCCACATCTGGAGTATTGCATCCAATTCTGAGCTCCCACGTTACAGAAAGGATGTGGTTGTGTTGGGAAAAGTCTAGCGAAGGGCAACCAGAATGATTATGGGGCCGGAGCACATGACTTACGAGAGGCTGAAGGATTTGAGCTTATTCAGTTTATAAGAGTGAAGAGTGAGGGGGGATTTGATAGCAGCCTTCAACTTCCTGAAGGAAGGTTCCAAAGAGGATGGAGAGAAGCTGTTCAGTGGTGATAGATGACAGAATGAAGAGCAATGGTCTCAAGTTGCAGTGTGTTTGAAGGGGAGGAGGTGTCTAGGTTGGATATTAAGAAAAACTATTTCTCTACAAGGGTGGTGAAGCACTGAAAGCACTGAAATGGATTACATAGGGAGGTGGCAAAAGTCCTGGCTGGGATGATTTAGTTGGGTTGGTCCTGATTTGGGCAGAGGGCTAGACTTGATGACCTTCTGACGTCTCTTCAAACCCTATGATTCTATGATTAGATCCAGCCCCATGGATTTGTGTATGTCTACCTTTCGTAAATAGTATTTAACCTGTTATTCCTCCAGTGTGGGCTGCCCACCTCTTTTCCTGTACTATGCTGCCTAGTACAGTAGTCTGGGAACAGGCCTCCTCTGTGAAAACAGAGGCAAAAACAGAGTCTTTTCCCACATCATCTGTCACTAGGTTACTTCCCTCATCCAAAAAACAACAAATGGTCTGGTAGCACTTTATAGACTAACAAAACATGTAGATGGTATCATGAACTTTCATGGGCACAGCCCACTTCTTCAGATGACCGGAGTTATGAGTTGGGATGTGTATACCCGAAATAAATAGGGGAGGAAAGGGGAGGGGAGAGGGAAGAAAAAGGGAAGGGAATGGGAGACAGAGCATCAGTAAGTATCTGAAGATTGGATAGTTAAACCGAAGCAGATAAAAATCAAAGTCAATAGATAGACTCCCATGTCAGGAATGATACAACACAGAGAGCTGCTTGCACCTCCAATGGCTTTTAAATTGGTAGTGTCCCAACCAACTTTCATCACAACTGAGTCCATTAGCATGTGAATTGAATTTGCGGATGAACTCTAATTCTAATTTTCTTCCCTCTCCCCTCCTCTTCCTCTCTCCTATTTATTCCAGGTGTTCACATCCCAAACTCATAACGCCAGTCATCTGTGCCCATGAAAGCTCATAACATCTACATGTTTTGTTAGTTTATAAAGTGCTACCAGACCATTTGTTTTTTTTTCCCTTTAAGGCTATGTCTAGACTGCAAGTCTTTCGAAAGAGGCTTTTTTGAAAGATACTTTAGAAAAAGCCTATTTTGAAAAAGAGTGTCTAGACTACAGCCAGTACTTTCGAAAAGCACGCCACTTTTTCAAAAGAGAGCATCCAGGCAGTCTGGATGCTCTCTTTCAAAAAAGCACAGTTTGCATTACATAGCACCTTTTTTCGAAAGTGCTCTTTTGAAAAAGGGCATTCTTCCTCATAAAATGAGGTTTTCCGTGGTCGAAAAAACTGCCGCGTTCTTTCGATTTACTTTAGAAAGAACACGGCAGCAGTCTAGACGCAGGGAAAGTTTTTTCAAAAAAAGGCCGCTAACAGACTCTCAGCTACCCCCTGAAGCTTCCCTCATCCCCCTTCCCTGAATACCCTCTTATTGCTAACATGCCTGTAGAAACATTTCTTGTCACCCTTCACATCCCTTGCTAGCTCCAATTCCAGTTGCACTTTGGCCTTGGTGATTACCTCCCTGCATGCTCAACTAATATATTTATACTCCTCCCTAGTCACTTGTCCAAGTTTCTACTTATAAGCTTCCTTTTTGTGTTTAAGCTCATGAGAGATTTCACTAAGCCAAGCTGGTCGCCTACCATATTTGCTTTTCTTACTGTGCATATTAGAAAACATACAGAAAATTCTTTCTTATGGAAGAAACTGAGGCTACTTTAGTGTAGGTTCATGAGTTCAGTTTTGGTCCAACAGTGATTCTAGCATCACTCAAATTTGATCAACCCACCCTCTAACATGCTAAATCTGGGTGAGTGGCATTGGAGTCTCAGTGCTGCTCAAAATTTGTGCCTGTCATCAGGAGATCAGACAATAACATGTCCACCTTGCCTAGGCCCAGATTCTGCCATCTGACATATTATGCTAGCAATGAAGCAGCTCACCAGACCAAGAGCCTGAAGGTAGATATAGGGGTGGGGATATCCTACTGGAGTGAAAGGAGAGGCATAACTAGGAGTGGTCCATTGGCTGCAAGCAGGGCAAAGCCTTTATCTGCATGGAGAAGGTAGTGGCCCCATAATTCTTGGCGCTCTCTGTTCTACCGGCTATCTGCTGAGTTGAGATGATTTGTAGGGCTTTAGGGACCTGACCCTGCAAGGTGCTGAGATTGCCTGGAGAGGTTGCTCGGTCTGTGTATGAATTGTTTACACAAGGAGGACCGTTAATAATTGCCCCCAGTTAATATTCTATCATTTCCTGTTTATATTAGTTCATTTTATGTGCAGTTTTTCCTCTACTTTCCTCACTGTGCCTGGAGTAGAACAAACTCCTCCAGGCTTCCCCCTAAGTGCTATTCAGGTGCCAAGTCTGTATTAGA